GTGTTTTTTTTTTTTTTTTTTTTTGCTATAGGGTGCATGTGCTCATCAGAAAGACAGAGAGAGACAGAGAGACAGAAAGTGAGAAATCACCCCCCCGGGGGGATGGCCACACCGCAATCCCTTCTCCTCCATTCTCCTCTCGGGATCTTGGGCGCACACGCACCTGGAGTGAGTTTAAGCCACCGGGTCCGGGACTCGAACCGTGGTCGACTACATGGGAGTCCAGCGACATAGCCATTACGCTAACTGCTGGTCCCAAGGCTATTATTCCCTAACTCGGACTATCCCACGTGAAGGAAAGATTTAAAGCAGAGCTTGCTTGGGTTTGGGCGTGTAGCCGTGGAGATCTGACATTCTTTCCCTTTCTTATTTCCAGGGACCCCCGGGTCTGAAAGGCAGTGAAGGCTACCTGGGGGAAGAGGGCATTGCTGTAAGTCGAGCTTTCTCACTCGCTTATTCCTGAGCACCTGTCCACACCTGAAATCCTCACCTCCACTGGGAGGGAGCTGGGAAAGGCCGGCTCCTGAGCTGCAGTCACGCGCAGAGCCTAGCCCTCGTCGTGCGGTACTGCTGTGGTCACCGTGGTTGCCGACTCTGACCCTTTGACTCCCCACTGACATCGCACAGCGAACTCACCACGGGAGACAGATCCCTCCCGTGGGCCCTTCCTGTCCACTTACAAAGGCCGACTGGCTGCATTGCTCACCGAGGGCCTCCTTGCCTTCTGTCCACCCACCCATCCACTCCTCCACCCTTCCTTTCATCGGCCCACCCATCCATACATTATTCAATGATCATACATGAAAAAACTTATTATCCCTGTCATTTACAATAATTTACTTGTTAATGCAGTCATTCATTCATTTTCACTTAATAAATATGTCTTAAATACCATGTGGCAGGCATAGTGCTAGACCCTAGGAATAAGAAAAATAAAATTAAAAATATGGTTTCTATCTCAGGAAAGGCAAATGAGAGAGCAGCGTTTCGAGTTGCTACACACAGGGTGTATCAGCGGCTGAAAGAGGTTCACGGTAGCCTGGCAGGAGTAACCAGCCTAGGGTACGGCCTCGGTGGGAGACAGAGGCTGAGAGAGGAGGCTGCAAACTCAGGGTCGTGCTTGGGCAAACCTTTGAGGGATGGGTGGGAGTTTCCCAGTAGAGTGTGCAGTGCAGAACATTCTGCTTACAGAGGGGACAGCGTGTGCGAGGGTAGGCCACCAAGGCAGATGGCATCTGTTTCCCAGGTGGCCCGGGGTCGGCTTGGCTGGAACCCAGGGTGAAAAGAGTAGGTTGCACATGGTCAGAAAGACCCAAGTTATTAACATGCGAACGCCCTGCAGAGGGTCGGCACTGCCTCTCCTGGTTCACGGGCAGCCGCTGGAGTGAGAGCCATGCAGGTGTTCAGAAAGCATGCTCAGGAGACCGAGGGACGATGAGAAGGCAGCAGTTACAGGCGAAAACCTTGCAAGAGAAAGCACAAGACAAAGAAATCCTGACCTTGGCTCGGGCAGTATGCAGAGACGTGTTAACGGGTTTGAAAGGAAGTCCCTTGGGGCCACTTGGGGAGAGACACCCCACCCAGGAGCGAGCATGTGGGAGCGAAAACCAAGGCTCTCTCCAGAACAGCTCTGATTTACCCCGTCTCTGTTTCATAACCGGGAACTCTGGGTCGCAAACCATGAGCAGCCACACATTTTTTTTCCAAAAAAATCTTGTCAAGTGTCCAAGGAAGATCCCATATTCCAAGAGAAAAAGTTCATCCGGAGACGTGCTCTTTTTCAGGGAGAAAGAGGAGCCCCAGGGCCGGTGGGAGAGCAAGGTACCAAGGGATGCCACGGTGCTCGAGGTCCTAAGGTGAGGGCGGCCGACCGCACACGAGTTCCTCCAGCATCGAGTCTGTCCTCCCGGACTAACGACCGCTGTCCTTTCTCCTTCCAGGGAACCCGGGGACTGACCGGACAGCAGGTACGGCACTAGACAGGCCCCGATCTGTCTCTGTTCCCGCACGCGAGATTGGTGACCAGTAGCTCACACGCCCAGGCTTCTGCTGACCCTTGTTCATTGCCATTTTGTTCTCTTTACTCCTGTCCCTGACTGCAGGCTATTTATATTACTCATTGACAGTTTCTATTACTGATTAATCTTTGCTATTGCCCAGGCTCAGCCTAACGAGGAGGGTAAACACAGAATGCAAAATGAGACTATTTTTATTTAGTGCCTGACCTTGTTCCACACGGATGCGATGTGGAAATTCGATTCACTTTTATCTTCTTAGGGAGAAGTCGGGGAGAGCGGAGTTGATGGATTAAACGGAGAACAGGTAGAGACTTCTCCTTGTACACAGAGACCTTCTGGAAATGTTTCCCTTTAAGAAAATGGGAGTTTGAATTCTTCCTTCTCTGTTTTTTAGGGTGAAAGTGGTCTTCCTGGGAGAAAAGGAGAAAAGGGAGATGACGGATCCCAGGTAGGGTTTCAGTGGGGGGCGACAGAACGGAACTAGGAGTCACAGGTGCAGGGCAGAAGAGCTGCCGGGGTGCATAGTCGGCGCTGCCACCAGCAGCCGTGACAGACGGCGTAAGCCTCCGTCACGCGAAGCGAGGGACAGCGCTGCGTCACGTGCCTGTGGCTCTGCTGAGCCTGTGCCTGCAGGCTGCCGGGGCTTCCTTCCATGTCTCGTTCTCCTGGGAGCAGGGGCTAGCCAGCCATGCTGCAGGGTCAGGTAGACACACAGAGAACAAGGGAAACGCACCGCGCCTCTTCAGGCGACGCTGGAACTCTTACAGTGACACCGTCATCTGTCTTGGCCAAATCAGTCAGAGGGCTGAACTCAGGGGAAGGGAATCTTCCAGCATTGGAAGTCACTGCAGGGTTGCGTGCTGAGAACAAGGTACAGGGGTGAGGGCAGGGGCGGCCACCGCAGTAGGAGCAGAGTGGAGCTGCCCTGGCTTGCTCAAGGCAGCACAGAGTGCACGCCACGCCTCCCCGGCTAGAACGACACCACCCGCTGCCACACTGCATGCCACACATCCCAGACACAACACACACCACCTGCTGCCACACTGCGTGCCACGCATCCCAGCTAGAACACACACCACCCACTGCCACACTGCGTGCCACGCATCCCCGACTAGAACACACACCACCCGCTGCCACGCTGCGTGCCAAGCATCCCAGCTAGAACACACACCACCCACAGCTAGAACACACACCACCCACTGCCACGCTGCGTGCCACATCCCCACTTAGAGCACACACCACCGGCTGCCACGCTGCCGTCAGCTGCCTTGTCTAGCTGTCGACCAGGACCAGTTGAGGCAGAAATTCACTAGCTGCCTGATGAGCCACCCCAAGCAAATTGCATCATCTTCCTGAACTTTGGCTGCCTCGTTACAAGAAAGGTAGAGGGAGCCAGCGAGCAGCATGGCAGCTGGGGCGTTAGACCATCACGTGGCTGACCATGGTTTGAGTACTGGATCTGGAAACCTGAAAATCATGCTGCACACGTGCATGCATGCCCACATCCTGAGGAGGACCAGAGAGAAGGGATTGCAGTATGGCCATTCCCCTGGGGGGGTTGTGATTTGTCATTTCCCTCTGTCTCCCCAGCAAACACAGATGCCCTTTGGCAAAAATCAATCAATAAGTAAATGAAAAGGTAACAATCAATTTCTGATTCCTAGAGTAGTTGTAGAAACTGAGTAAGACAACAGTGTGTCTGAACACCGAGTTTACCACTGTGGCAAATAACTGAGTTCATTATTATTTACAAATTGCCTAAGACTATTTTTTGATGGTTCCTCTTTCCAGTTTAAAAATAACCTTAATAGAAAAACATTTAATTATTCAAACCAGGGAGGAGGTAAACTCTTTGTTTCTATGAATTGTATTAAAAATTCTCATCTTGTTCTTATTCTGGTTTGTGCTAACTTTAGGGAAGCCCGGGACAGAGAGGGACTTCTGGTGACCGTGGAGCCACGGGCCTGCGAGGAGACCCTGTAAGTCCTGGCTGGGTGGGCTGTGAGCCACAGCGGGGCTCCCTTTCCGGCTCCCTTCAGCATTTCTACAGACAGAGACATGTCCGCTTGGAGGTGCTACGATAGCATCCTGCATTGAAAACGTCACGGGCACTTTTTATGTTCAGACTTTAGAAGCAGGTACCGTGTGCTCAGGCCTCCTCGTACGCTACGTGAGTGTGCAGTGGAGAGCCCGTGCGTGTCGTTTGTAAATGTCTTTTTTGAGAACACATTTGTAGAATGATTCTTGTGCTCCAGGGCTAGGAAGGAATCCCAGTCCACTCTGTAATCTCCCTTGCGAGTGCCTTGGAGTATGGACAGACGGGGAGAAACAAAGCCCTCTCTCGTTGTTCTCCTGCTCTCCAAGAGTCTTTCTCAGTTGAGAGTTTCCGTCTCATTTCCTAGACCCAAGCCAGTTAGGTGCCATCAGGAAGAACTGATGTCGTAAGGCTGCCTGCCCTCCCGGGAGCACCACCCGGTGTCGGTGTGATGGGCATCTGGGAAGAGGACAACGCCGAGTCCAGGGGAGGCAGGACGGCAGGCGTTCACCATCGAGCCCACACCAGACACGTCTCTAACGCTTGAATGAGTTAGGACTCAGGTTCATTTTCTAACATTCACTGAACTTTGTTTTAAACTGCAACATTTATCAGAAAGTGTGTCATTTAAATGCACAGATTGAGAAAGGTGTACCCCCAGATAAGGGAATTGGTCATGACTGGCACCCCAGAAACCCCCTTCACACGTCCGAGTCACTACCCACCCACCCCCAGGGTAATCACTCCTAGCATCATAAAGGACCTATTTTACTTGTTGAACTTCTATACATGATGCAATCGCGTGGTGTCTCGTCCTCTGTTTCCGGTTATTTTGCTCAGTCTTACGTGAGACTCACCTGTGCTGAGTGACCACGGGTCGTTCAGTCCTCACACACCGTTCCACCACGTGACTGCCGTGGCTTACGTGCCCATCCTGCCACTTGGGCTGTTCCCAGTTGCTGTCACAACGGTGCTGCTGTGACTGTCCGCGTGCTTGCCTTCCGGTGCTTTGTATGTTAGGTATGTACTTTAGGAGTTGGTTTCCGGGTCACGATGTTTATGCCTACACTCAGCTCTAGTCTTCAGAGCCAAGCAGGTCTCTAGGAAGTTTATACTGGCTCACGTTCCCACCAGCAATGCAAGAAGGCAGTATACAAAGGTCCAATTGGCTCGGTTTTATAGAAACCGACTGTGCTAAGTGCTGACGAGGATGTGGGACCACTGGGAATCTCATGAGACTCCGTCTTCACCACCACTCCCTCTGGTATACAAGGTGCTGGCCAGAGAACAGTCGGGTGCAATATGTGGGGAATCCGTGCATAGTTTTTTCTTTTTCTTCTTTTAAAGTGCCAGAAGATGCATGTGCTCACACAAGAGAGAGAGAGAGAGAGAGAGAGAGAGAGCGAGAGCGACCATACCCTCAGTGGGACGTTGCTCACACTGCAGTCCCTTCTCCGCCATCTTTGCACCCTGTTGCAATCTGAGCCACATCGTGCACATTCACCACCATGTTCTTTAAGACACCAGGGCCAGACTCAAACCTTGGCTGGCCACATGGGAATCCAGATCCATTAACCACTAGACCCTATAGTTTTTTCCTTAAAACTCATTTTCTATGAACTTCTTAAAGATCCTCTTGCACTAGCAAATATAAGCACTAGGTGTGCAGTGAAGATAACTTTCTTTTAAAAGCAGAGGAATTTTCCCGTTAAGACAAATTGTTTACTAAGTGACATCTTCCAGTAAGAGTCTGAGGACCGGAGCGTTTTCAAGCAACTGCAGAGTACCTCATTCTGAACTACCCACAGGTAATTCAGGCATGCTAGATCGGGGCCAGAGGCTGCAGTGCTGTCACACTGGAGACACCTGGGGAAGTTGTCCTTTTGCATCTTGGGAGCTCCCTGAGTGTGCCGAGTGTGAACACGTGCACACTGTCACCCAGGCCAGCTGAGACTCGGGGTACATCATGACATAAAGACCCTGTAGGTAGGGAGTGCCTATCTCTCTGTCTCTTTAGCTCTGTCTCTGGATAGCTCATGGAAGGAATGAGTAAGTTGACTAATAAATAAATAAATAGTAGTTCAAATACAAACATATTTCAATAGGCTATATATCATGACCAAAAATTCATTTGAGTATTGCCCAAATTGCCATTGACTTTGATTAGAATTTCCCCTAAATTTATAAAGTCTATAATCTGCTATGGATTATGTAGCTATATAACGTTTAAAAATATTTAAATAGTATAAAATTATTTTTATTTTTTAAAAGTGCTCTTTGAATTCAAGATGGCTGAAAATTCAACCTACTAGAGCTTTTCTGCAAAGCGATGCTTCTTTGAAGTGTAACAATTCTTCCTGCCCACATGGGACTAAAGCAGGGAACTTCAAAAAATTTGTTTAAAAAAAGAAAGTATGAATTTATTTTGTTGCAAAAAAATGAAATCCATACATAGTTTTTTTCATAATATGTATTCTGCCTAAGAGTTTTGAAGACCCTTTGCATATCTTAATTCTCAGACAACTCTCCGTATTTTTTTGTCTGTAGTTTCGTGGGTTAATTTTTCGGGAAGACTCTGAGAGAGCAAGATTGCTAGAAGAAATAGTGCACATGCATGATTAGATTAATCGTTCTGATCACAGGGAAGCCTGTTCAGCCATTTGGAATGTCCCTGTTTGACCAGGGAGTTTTTTTAATGTCGTGTGATGTTGGGGAGAAACTGGGCAGAATCCTTCGTCTAATCTATAGGAGCTAGTGAAGTTCATCATCCCACTATTCATTATTATTTTTAGGAGCCCATGTTTAGTCATAAACTTGTGTTAGACGATGTTCCTTTGTCCGGGTGCATAACGATAAAAAGATTAAGCTAGCTCACACTCACAGTGGCCAAGCAACTTGTGTATGTGCAGTCTGGACCGTTCTTTGCGGTAAACTGAGTTGGTATGTGATTCCTCCTGTCATCTCTTCAACTGAATGGCTTCGAGCTGAACTTCAGCGAAGGGCCGATGTGTCCACGGAATGAAATCCTGGACTTTACATTACTTTCCTTTTCCTTACCTTGTTCACCAAAATGCAAATTTTTGGGGGGACGGGGAGAGGCTTTTGCTATAGGGCGCGTGCGCTCGCCAGACAGAGACAGAGAGACAGAAAGAGAGAAATCACCCCCCAGGGGGCGTGTCCACACCACAATCCCTTCTCCTCCATTCTCCTCTCAGGATCTTGGGCACGCATGCACATGCGCCTGGCGTGAGTCTTAAGCCACCAGGTCCGGGACTCAAACCATGGTCGGCTACATGGGAGTCCAGCGACATAGCCATTATGCTAACTGCTGGTCCCCAAAATGCAAACTTTTAATATGGTAATTTATGTACACCCTTCTCAGAGAACTTAAGAGACAAATATTTAAATTCGAGAGGGGAAAAGAAGATATACAACCCTTGGTTTCGGTCAGTGGAGGAGAAGCGATCTCTCTTGTGCACTTCAGTGCACTCAGTCATTTGAACAACTCCAAGCCCACCTTCTCCTCCGCAGTGCCCCGTAAGCTCTGCAAGCGCAGATGCTGTCTCTTTAGGAAGTGTACTAAGTGTCTGGAGCAATGCTCTGTCCCCGTGGGCGATCCTAAGTTACTTACTGGCGGATGGAGGTAACCTGGGCTGCTATCGGCGGAACAGAACTGCAGCGGCACCCAGCAGGACTAGCTCGTCCCGTCCCGTCCCCGTCCCTGACCTGCTGGAGCATTGACTGGATTGACTGGCTGAACTGACTGGCTCGGCATCACAAAGACAGGGCCTGTGTGAGGTCCGCACTCTCTGTTTTAATCTGTTTTTCTGTTGCTATAACTGAAAACCACAGACTGGATACTTTATAAAGAATAAAGGTTTATTTAACTCATGGCGCTGAAGGTCCACGGCCGAGAGGCTGCATCTTGGAGGGTTTTCTTGCTGGTGGGGACTCTGCAGAGTCCCCGTGGTGGTGTATGCCATCACATGGCAAAAGGGCGAGAGCACGTGTCAGCTCTGGGCACCCCCTATCTTCTTGTAAAGCCACCGTGTCAGGTCATGGGACTCCACGCTGGTGACCTTACTGAATCCTAACCACCTCCCAGAGTCCCACCTCTTAACACCAGGGTCAGCTCCAGGCACCCCCTGTCTTCTTGTAAGGCCAACGTGTCGGGTCATGGGGCACCACCCTGGTGACCTTACTGAATCCTAACCACCTCCCAGAGTCCCACCTCTTAACACCAGAGTCAGGTGAGGTGTCCACCTTTGGAATGCCGTCACGATGGGAACCAAATTTCAGCCTGAGAATGTGGGGGGACACATGGCACTACCCCGTTAGACACTTTCAGTGTGCAGGGCCAGGCAATGGCACAGCAGTAATGCAGCTGGACTCGCGTGGGAAGCCCATGAGGACCCAGTAGGGGGTTCCTGTCACTCTGTTCTCTCTGTCCCTCTCAGGGAAGAAGGAAAGCTGGGGCCCAGACAGTGGCATAGCAGTTAAGTTCGGTGCTCTGCAGGGCAGCCCTCCACGGGAAGGTTCCCAGTTCGGCTCTGGAGAGCCACGTGTAGACCACGTACCCGTGTGTCCATGGTGTAGCTGGCTGAGGTCTGAGCGCAGGTCCCAGCGTGGAGCCCAGCTGGGGTGAGCATGTGCTCTCTCTCTCTCACACTAAAGGGAGAGAGAAAGCAGAAACTGAAAAGGAGGGGAAGCTTTCAGGTTGACCTAAGGTTATAGCCCACCACGTACCTGTTTTCGCTGAGCCCCTGTTAGAATACTGGCTTTAATATTGAGAAAACCTCGATATTCAAGGGTTCCGTGAAAGCCAGAGAGGTAGGTGTGAGCACATGAGGGTGGCATGAGGGGCGGCCAGGTGTCTGGGGAGAGAGCGAGGGAGCGGCAGGCGGCCCTCGGCGTCGGTCAGCGTATGTCACCGTGGTGGGGTTCAGTACAGGTGTGTGTCTTCTCCCAAGGGTAGGCGAGAGTCAAATCTTCCAACTCGTAGCTGTAAATTTGTCTAGGCCCCGAGAAAAGGAGGACAAGTGAAGAGAAAGGTGGCAGTGCAGAAGGGGCACCTCTAGACCCGGGAGAGAGGAGTCACGTGCACGAGCCGCGTCAGCCTGCTGTGCTTCCTGTGGCCGACTCTGCTTTCTCTCTCTCCCACACCCCTCTTCAGTCTTCGCCCTTGTTCTGATCATGCTAAGCATAGAAGGAAAGGAACACTCTTACCTGCATTTGCAATTGAAAAATGATTTATTATTATTATTTATACAGTCGAGCATTTGCAATTTAAAAGTGATTTATTATTATTATTTATACAGTCAATTGCTACACATCACTTAGATTGTAAACAGAATTTTTTATTTTTTATTAAATTTATTTACTTACATTCATTCACTGTGCATCATTACAGTATACGCAGTGAGATTTTCCACCCGGAGTGCACTGTATGTTGGCTCAATCAAGCGCATCAACTTACATGTTATCGTCAACAAACAACTGTCCATTTCTCGTTTCTTGTATGTTTTGCTTTCTTTTCCATCCTTGATTCCCTGTCTCTTACCCTCTGCCATCTCCCACTCTCCTCCCACACTGTCTCTGGTATCTGTTTGCTTTCTAGACTTTTCCCCCCACATTTCATTGAGCCACTAAAGATCTTAATTAATCTAAATATTTTCATAGCAAGCACAGCTGATATATACATTTCCTTGAACACAAGTCCACCTTTAGGCATGAGACTCAGTGAGTAGAATGAACGTAAAGAATTCACCCAGCGTGATCTGGACCTCAGACCAGTGCAGCTGGGAACACTGTACACGCCCTCACCCACGGGCAGTAAACTGCTTCTGTGTCCCACAAAGCATTGGAAATTGGGACCTCTTTCTGCTTCCCAATGGATTGGACCTCTCTCGTGACCTTTCTGAGGGAAAGCTAAACATGCCGTGTGTGTATTTCTAAAAGAAGTGTTCAAAACCTCTTCACTTCTCTCTTTATTCTCTGTTTCTCAGGGAGTTCCTGGATTTGACAACAGTGTAGAAGGACCCAGGGGCTCGAAAGGAGGGCACGGAAGGCAGGTAATCACGTGGGCACTGGAGCATGAACTTGTCAGATGACAACGCAGAGCTGTGAGGCTCGCGTTCGTGAGAGCATGTGAAGCCCTGATAAAGAGTTTGCAGTCCGAGTGGACGTACTCGGTGCAGAAAACTCATTAGCAAAAAGACCTCTTCTTTTCTTATCCACCACTTTGGGACTCAGGGTAATTTTTATTTTCCTTTCTATTTGGGCTGGCCCTCTCCGGGCTAGATGGCTTGTGGCGAGCTTCGGAGACCCACCGTGGGGGCATGTTGGGGACGGTTTATTTGACTGCTCTGTGACGTGTACCTCCAACACGTGAGACAGCACTGCCAAGCAGACGAAGCCTGTCGCTGCATTGTGTCCTTCGCCCTCATTCCCCGTGGCGGTGCGATTCAGGACTGTGGAAGTCAACACCACCTTCCAAGAGGAGGCGGCTCTCACTGACGCGCATCCATCCCTCCTCTAGGAGCAGCCGTGTCAGTGCCGTGTTGTCACATGTCTGTCTGCTTCCCTGACAGGGTAGAAGAGGCTGGCCAGGGCCCCCTGGATCACCGGGCTCCAGAAGAAAGACGGTAAGAGCCCTCCCACCCGAGGAGACCCACTGCTCCAGAGTCTTGTACAGTGGCGAGAATGTGACCATGTGACCGTGGGGTGGGCAGGACAGTCCTGCTGGGGCTCATTACCTCGGGAAAGCAAGCTGGGGCCATCTCTCAGAGCAGGGTGGCAGCAGGTTGGGGGAGCCACTGCAATGGTTGTAAGGCCAACGTGTCGGGTCATGGGGCACCACCCTGGTGACCTTACTGAATCCTAACCACCTCCCAGAGTCCCACCTCTTAACACCAGAGTCAGGTGAGGTGTCCACCTTTGGAATGCCGTCACGATGGGAACCAAATTTCAGCCTGAGAATGTGGGGGGACACATGGCACTACCCCGTTAGACACTTTCAGTGTGCAGGGCCAGGCAATGGCACAGCAGTAATGCAGCTGGACTCGCGTGGGAAGCCCATGAGGACCCAGTAGGGGGTTCCTGTCACTCTGTTCTCTCTGTCCCTCTCAGGGAAGAAGGAAAGCTGGGGCCCAGACAGTGGCATAGCAGTTAAGTTCGGTGCTCTGCAGGGCAGCCCTCCACGGGAAGGTTCCCAGTTCGGCTCTGGAGAGCCACGTGTAGACCACGTACCCGTGTGTCCATGGTGTAGCTGGCTGAGGTCTGAGCGCAGGTCCCAGCGTGGAGCCCAGCTGGGGTGAGCATGTGCTCTCTCTCTCTCACACTAAAGGGAGAGAGAAAGCAGAAACTGAAAAGGAGGGGAAGCTTTCAGGTTGACCTAAGGTTATAGCCCACCACGTACCTGTTTTCGCTGAGCCCCTGTTAGAATACTGGCTTTAATATTGAGAAAACCTCGATATTCAAGGGTTCCGTGAAAGCCAGAGAGGTAGGTGTGAGCACATGAGGGTGGCATGAGGGGCGGCCAGGTGTCTGGGGAGAGAGCGAGGGAGCGGCAGGCGGCCCTCGGCGTCGGTCAGCGTATGTCACCGTGGTGGGGTTCAGTACAGGTGTGTGTCTTCTCCCAAGGGTAGGCGAGAGTCAAATCTTCCAACTCGTAGCTGTAAATTTGTCTAGGCCCCGAGAAAAGGAGGACAAGTGAAGAGAAAGGAGGCAGTGCAGAAGGGGCACCTCTAGACCCGGGAGAGAGGAGTCACGTGCACGAGCCGCGTCAGCCTGCTGTGCTTCCTGTGGCCGACTCTGCTTTCTCTCTCTCCCACACCCCTCTTCAGTCTTCGCCCTTGTTCTGATCATGCTAAGCATAGAAGGAAAGGAACACTCTTACGAGCATTTGCAATTTAAAAGTGATTTATTATTATTATTTATACAGTCAATTGCTCCACATCACTTAGATTGTAAACAGAATTTTTTATTTTTTATTAAATTTATTTACTTACATTCATTCACTGTGCATCATTACAGTATACGCAGTGAGATTTTCCACCCGGAGTGCACTGTATGTTGGCTCAATCAAGCGCATCAACTTACATGTTATCGTCAACAAACAACTGTCCATTTCTCGTTTCTTGTATGTTTTGCTTTCTTTTCCATCCTTGATTCCCTGTCTCTTACCCTCTGCCATCTCCCACTCTCCTCCCACACTGTCTCTGGTATCTGTTTGCTTTCTAGACTTTTCCCCCCACATTTCATTGAGCCACTAAAGATCTTAATTAATCTAAATATTTTCATAGCAAGCACAGCTGATATATACATTTCCTTGAACACAAGTCCACCTTTAGGCATGAGACTCAGTGAGTAGAATGAACGTAAAGAATTCACCCAGCGTGATCTGGACCTCAGACCAGTGCAGCTGGGAACACTGTACACGCCCTCACCCACGGGCAGTAAACTGCTTCTGTGTCCCACAAAGCATTGGAAATTGGGACCTCTTTCTGCTTCCCAATGGATTGGACCTCTCTCGTGACCTTTCTGAGGGAAAGCTAAACATGCCGTGTGTGTATTTCTAAAAGAAGTGTTCAAAACCTCTTCACTTCTCTCTTTATTCTCTGTTTCTCAGGGAGTTCCTGGATTTGACAACAGTGTAGAAGGACCCAGGGGCTCGAAAGGAGGGCACGGAAGGCAGGTAATCACGTGGGCACTGGAGCATGAACTTGTCAGATGACAACGCAGAGCTGTGAGGCTCGCGTTCGTGAGAGCATGTGAAGCCCTGATAAAGAGTTTGCAGTCCGAGTGGACGTACTCGGTGCAGAAAACTCATTAGCAAAAAGACCTCTTCTTTTCTTATCCACCACTTTGGGACTCAGGGTAATTTTTATTTTCCTTTCTATTTGGGCTGGCCCTCTCCGGGCTAGATGGCTTGTGGCGAGCTTCGGAGACCCACCGTGGGGGCATGTTGGGGACGGTTTATTTGACTGCTCTGTGACGTGTACCTCCAACACGTGAGACAGCACTGCCAAGCAGACGAAGCCTGTCGCTGCATTGTGTCCTTCGCCCTCATTCCCCGTGGCGGTGCGATTCAGGACTGTGGAAGTCAACACCACCTTCCAAGAGGAGGCGGCTCTCACTGACGCGCATCCATCCCTCCTCTAGGAGCAGCCGTGTCAGTGCCGTGTTGTCACATGTCTGTCTGCTTCCCTGACAGGGTAGAAGAGGCTGGCCAGGGCCCCCTGGATCACCGGGCTCCAGAAGAAAGACGGTAAGAGCCCTCCCACCCGAGGAGACCCACTGCTCCAGAGTCTTGTACAGTGGCGAGAATGTGACCATGTGACCGTGGGGTGGGCAGGACAGTCCTGCTGGGGCTCATTACCTCGGGAAAGCAAGCTGGGGCCATCTCTCAGAGCAGGGTGGCAGCAGGTTGGGGGAGCCACTGAAATGGAAAGGAAGGAGCTGGGGTGAGGACAGTGGCTGTCAGGAGGGGAACTTGGCACAGAGAACAAGAGGCCGTCAACTAGGGCGGGTGGTCACAGCCCAGCCACTGCAGGCTGACCAGGCCGGCTGCTTCCCATCCGAGCTCCAGCCCTTGCCGGACCATGTGATGAGTAAGAAAGGCTGGCAGGTGGGGCGGGAGTGGGCAGCAGGTGGCATGGTGGAGGGGGGACTAGACGCCACAGGACAAACTCTGCTGTGGATCCAGGCCAGTGGCTTGAAAATCACATCAGATGTGTGTTCATGCACCCCAAGGTCCTGAGAGGAGAGGGCTGGGATTGTGGCATGGCCATTCCCCGGGGGTTAGGGGGCATTTCTGTTTCTCGCTCTCTCCTGTGAGTACATGTGTCCCATGGCAAAAAAAAAGGGAAAAAACAAGAAAGAAAAAACAAAAGTCAGCCCTGGCGTAGGCATGTCTGGGATTGAAATTAAGTCAATTGTTTATGGAGCCCTTTAGGGGTTGGTTTGTTTATGTTCTTTTATTTCTGTTTACTTGTTTTTGTCATTTCCTATTGAGTACTTTCTTAAAATTTCTGTATTTGCTAGATAAAATGCAGAGATGATAAAAAACGTCTTTATCCAATAGGAAGAAATAACTTCACCACACAATACTTAGAAGCTCGTATTAGGGTCTAAGGTAGATCTGTCTCGTTTCATTTTGCAACCGATTCTTCTCATTCTCTATCTAGTTATCCACTCCTCCACCTTCTTCCACCGCCTCTCCCCCAAAACGTATAGAAGGTTTAAAATCGAGCACGGATTACAAACCAGGTCGGTGCGCTGCGTGGTTACAGAGCGCGTTTTCCGAGATCACAGAGCCGGCTATTGTACCCATCGGGAAAAGTCTCTGTATCTTGGAGCACACCCATTCCTTTGCAAAGCAGTGAAAATGGAAATAAGAACAGACGTTTAAAACATACAGACCCGTATGCAGATAAAGAAATACAGTTGCTGCTCGTTGCACTTTCTGAAAGGGCGTAGCCTGCTTACATACCCCTGGAAAATATTTTCAACTTAAAGAATCTCAGCCAGGAAACCCTGGCATGTGAGGAGGTACTGCTATTGTTTCACAGTGGCTGGAGCCTCCCTAGAGGCTGATGGAGTCCCATCTGTGTTATTAACGTCACGCAGCTCCTGAGAGGCATGGCCATTGGGGTTTTAGACTCAGCAGTGTCATTTGGGAATAGAAGTAGGACTCCCAGTTAAAGATGGCAAGGCGGAAGTGCTTTCTGACTATTCTTCAGTGCAGCTCACCAAAACAACGGAAGAGGTCATAAAAATAATAATAACCACAACTTCCACCACA